ACCTATCAGGGCATGGCACTGGGGATCCGGGATCGACTGTGAGCGTTTCATTGGCACTCGTTGCTGTCAGCTGTCCGCTGTTCTCTCCTTAGAATAGCCTCACTGGTGGTGGTAGCGGCAATTTAGGCGGAGAGTGAGTGTGGGATGGTTGCTGTTCGTGTCACCACTCATGCCTTATTCTCAGCTTGGCATCAGCTATTGATCAAGAAGAGGAAGATGCGTCGGTACGTTCGGTGCCTCGAGTGCTACTGTGCCATTTGTGGTCAGGTTTTGCCTATCACCAATTCAGCCTACAGGAGTCTGCGCTGGATTAAGGCGATAACTAGTGGTCAGGTAGCAATGATGGGCTCTCAATATACTGTACTATGCAGCTCTGGTAGCCTCCTTCTGCTCGGGCATGCCATACACTGTCACGACTCAACAAGAAGCTGTATATGTTTGGCGGATATGATGGTCAGAAGTGCTTCAATGACATGGGTCGGGGCATTTAAAAGGCATAGGGCCTAGAGGGTTGTGGTATCAGATGTCCTCGACCTCGAAACGATGACCTGGATCCAGCCGAACGTCTGTGGTCAGCCTCCAATGGCAAGAAATGCGCACACTATGACGGTTGTTGGTAACGTCTGCATTGCCTGCTTACTGTGTATTGTTCAAGTTATGAGGTACGAAGCTTTATCTGTTTGGTGGTCATAGTGGTAATAAGCATCTCACAGACCTTCATGTCTTCGACACTGCCAATTTACTTTGGTGAGTGGAGCGAGCGGTTGAGTAGTGGTATGGTACCGTAGGTATCAGCCTAGCATTCTTGGAGCACCTCCTCCGGGATTGCGAGGGCACACTGCTAACTTGATAGGGAAGAAGATCTTCCTCTTTGGTGGGTACGATGGCAAGGTGAGGTGATCGACCAACAGCAACGCCGTCATGTGGATGTTGTTGTTGGTAGGGCCGATCGAACGACCTGTATATACTGGACACAGGGTATCCTGGTGGCTTCTCACCCAGCACTGGTGATG